CTTGGACCTCAGCGAAGCTCACGCTGTCACACAACTGTGTGGAGTTGAGAGTGATCTAGAAACCAGAACAGGAAGAACGCAGTCCCACAGCAGCATGGGAAGAAAAAAAAAATCTAACTATTTAAAGCCTCATTGTCTCCTTACTGTGTCGTCGTCAGGGTTCTGACTCATTGTGCTGCAGAGATCTGTCGTGTTGTGCTGTTCTTGAAACAGACATTTCCTCTGGACCAGAGGAGTGCTGCTGAAGACACTCGTGTCCTGTGGCCAGTCACCAGAGGAAAAAAGAAAAAAATACCGTACTGTACTGTACTGTGGGCCCAACATTCATTCATTTTAAACAGTCAACAACAACCAATGAGATTCAGTGTGAGAGTCTGTCGGGTGAGATGCCGTGAAAACCATCGTACCGCTCCACAAACTGTGAGCACGATCTTGCCGTACACTCCTCTCCTGCCCCTCTCCGCTGCCACCGTGGCAACGTCTGCCCTCCATTCTCCCTCCCATATGAGACACCTGAGTTTGGAGACACACTCGGGAAAATTAGTCCACATTCAAAGACGGCAAACGTTGTGTTTCAATCCTTTTTTTTTTCATTCTGATATGAAAATGTGACAATAGCTTTACTCACAACCATTTAGCAGCTTCACTGCTGGATGGCGACAGCTCTGTCCATTTGTGATAAACAGTCTATGTCCTTAAAGCTTTTCCTCTCAGGTTACAGTTAGCAAATACAGCCCTTTGGTACTGTAGTGAATGAAATGTCAATGAAACATTTCATTCTCTCAATGAAATGTTAAAATTCATAGTTTTCTTACAAAACATTTATGTAATAAATGTTCAAATACAGGTTTTTTCTTTTTTACTAAAGACAGAAGTCTTCAAACTCTTCAAAGCTTTAACACTGAAATGGATTTGTTTTTTGTCTCGGTTCAACTTGGGAGTTCAAATCCATTTTGTTTTCACATTTTGCACATCTAAATGTTCGGGAAGTGATTCTTGATCAAACAATCGCATCATTACTTTTTTGTTGTCCCCGAACATATTTAATTAATTGTGATAAACGTCAGTTTACACCAACCTTGTGGTCAAAATCACCGATTACTCGACTCATCGCTGCAGCCCTCGTTTTTATCCACTCGCACTAATAACTAACCGGCCAGACTAAATGTTTGAACTCGTGCACAAACCTCGACTGTGAGGTCAGAGTTCCAATCCTTTGGGCCTCCACCTCCGCACTGACCACCACTTCCGCTGAGATGGTGGCGCTCTCATCACCTTTCCACTCCCCAAGCCCGAAAATGACCAGCTGTTTAGGCAGTGGCAGCGGGACGTGCACCTGGAAGAACCGTCGATTGGATTTGCTGCCAAGAAACACGAACAGTGAAAGTTCATAAAGTTATTAAAGTTCAGGGAAAATACCGTCGTTTAAGGTGGGAAAATAACCTAATAAACTGTCTGGGGGCGTCACGCAGAGACCACAGTACGTAGAAACTCATCTTCCCCATGATTCTACCGCTGGACAGCTGAACGAACTCCTCCTGGTTCTTGTTCTGATCCCGCAAAAGTGTGTGACTATGAAATCACCGCTGTAGCCAATCACTAGCCGTAAAAAGAAAAAAAAGAAAAAAGAAAAAAAAAAGACCAACAAAAAAAAGGGCTATTTCGATTGGTCAGTTAGTTGAACAGCAACATAATCACTCACCTGGGCATGAACCGCACAGCTCCAAAAAAAAGGGGGTTGGGGGGGTGGGGGGTGGTGGTGTTACACTTTTCCTTGTTTTATTTCCCCTGTTTTTTTATTTCATAATTTAATTGCATTAACACAATTCGTGTTCTATTATGTCTGTTAGCTTAATATTTTTGAATATTAAGCTAAAATGATATTTCTTGTATTTTTCATTCCTTGTTATTCCTTGTCTTTAATCAGGTTTTTCATTTTATTATTTATCGTTTTTTAATTCAAAAGGTCATATTTTTAATTCTTTTTCCTGAATTTTAACAACAGAAATGGACATAGCTAAGTATTTTAAGGCAAATGAGTGCATTTTTAGTCATTTTTGAGAAACTTTTTTTTCTGGAGATTTGTTCAGGAACTTATTGGTATAGTATTTTACTGTGATCAAAAGTTGACATACCAAAAAAGTTAATATTTTCTGAATTTTAACAACAGAAATGGACTTAGCTAAGTATTTTAAAGCAAATGAGTGCATTTTTAGTCATTTTTGAGAAACTTTTTTTTCCGGGGATTTGTTCAGGAACTTAATGCTATAGTATTTTACTGTGATCAAAAGTTGACGTACCGAAAAAGTTTATTTTTTCTGAATTTTAACAGCAGAAATGGACATAAATAAGTATTTTAAGGCAAATGAGTGCATTTTTAGTCATTTTTGAGAAACGTTTTTTACAAACATTTTCATCAAAATTTCGTAGTTTTTGCCCAAAAATGACATAAAAAAACTGACATTTTGACAAAAAGTTTTAAACAGAACATTTTCTAAAAATGTTCTCTAAATGTACTAATTTTATGAGAAACTTGCAGGCAAAGATACAATTTTGATAAAAAAAAGTTACAAACATTTTCATCAAAATTTCTTAGTTTTTGACCAAAAATGACATGAAAAACTGACATTTTGACAAAAAGTTTTAAACAGAAATTTTTAAAAAAAATATTCTTTATGTGCACTAATTTTATGAAAAACAAGCATGCAAAGATACAGTTTTGAAAAAAAATTACAAACATTTTCATAAAAAGATCTTAGTTTTTGAACAAAAACGACACAAAAAATTCACATTTTGACAGAAAACTTTATACACAAATATTTTTTAAAATGTTCTCTAAATGCCCTAATTTTATTAGAAACATGCAAGAAAGGATAACATTTTTAAAAATAATTTTACAAACATTTCCATCAAAATTTCTTAGTTTTTGACCAAAAATGACATAAAAAAAATGATATTTTGACAAAATTTTTAAGCAGAATGTTTTAAAAAAATATGCTTTATGTGCACTAATTTTATGATAAACATGCATGCAAAGATATACTTTTGAAAAAAAAATTTACAAACATTTTGATCAAAATTTCTTAGTTTTTGACCAAAAATGACATAAAAAAAATGACATTTTGACAAAATTTTTAAGCAGAATTGTTTTTAAAAATATGCTTTATGTGCACTAATTTTATGATAAACATGCATGCAAAGATATACTTTTGAAAAAAAAATTTACAAACATTTTCATCAAAACTGTTTAGTTTTTGAACAAAATTGACACAGAAAATTCACATTTTTACAGAAAACTTTATACACAAATATTTGTAAAAATATTTTCTAAATGCCCTAATTTTATGAAAAACGTGAAAGAAAAGATAACATTTTAAAAAATAATTTACAAACATTTTCATCAAAACTGTTTAGTTTTTGAACAAAAATGACATGAGAAACTGACATTTTGACAAAAAGTTTTGAACAGAAAGTTTTCTAAAAATGTTTTCTAAATGTACTAATTTTATGAGAAACTTGCAGGCAAAGATACAATTTTGAAAAAAAAATTTACAAACATTTTCATCAAAATTTCTTAGTTTTTGACCAAAAATTACATAAAAAACTGACATTTTGACAAAAACTTTTAAACAGAAATTTTTAAAAAAATGTTCTCTAAGTGCAAAAATGTTATGTGAAACATGCAGGCAAAGATACAATTACAAACATTTCCATCAAAATTTATTAGTTTTTGACCAAAAAAGACATAAAAAACTGACATTTTGACAAAAAGTTTTAAACAGAAATTTTTTAAAAAATATTCTTTATGTGCACTAATTTTATAATTTTTTAAAAAAATGTTCTCTAAGTGCAAAAATGTTATGTGAAACATG